TCTGGATTGTGGGATAAATTTGGATAGCTTAAAGCTCAAAGGAAGAGAGGCTGCTTGCCGAAGGTGAAAGACAGAGTGTCTGGAAACAGCACTGGGAAGCAAGGAATATTAAGACATCCCCCAGAGCAACCAGTAGGTCCTGGGATATGAAAGAAAGAGTAGCCAGTACTGGAAACAGTGTGTTCTTCATTAGGAAGTAGGCATTCTAACCAGCACAGAGGAAGATGTGGACAGATCTGGACAGGAATTTTGGAGACCAACTAATTCAACTCCATTTTTAGAAAAGGAAACTTATGCCCAAAGAAAATAATAATTTGCCCAAGGTCACAAAGGTTTATCAAATACAAGAGTCAGCATCTGAATCCAAGTCCTCTAGCTTTACATTCATTCAAGTGTAACGTACATTGTGAAAGTTCCCAAAGAAATGAAAAACTACTGGGACAGCTAGATGGTGCTGTGGATAGAGCACCAGCCCCAGAGTCAGGAAGACCTGAGTTCAAATCTGGCCTCAGACACATAACACTTACTAGCTGTGTGACGCTAGGCAAGTCACTTAACCCCAATTGCCTCAGGCCACTCCCCACCAAAAAAAGAAAGAAACGGAAACTACCAATTGGTATACTTGAATAGATGTGTCTTTAAACACGTACAAATATCATACGGATTGACTCATTTTAATTAACTTCCTTCAGTACCTTATACATACTTAATAAATGCTATGTGAGAAAATTCAGAAGACAAAAGGCAAAATAGAACATTCCTTGACGTAAATATCACAGTATGATTACATGTTTTAGGGGCTGATATTTTTCTAACATCATCTTTCTGAAATTATAACAAAAGCCAATGAGAAAATGATTCAATATCCAAAATTATTTAGACTTTTCAAGAGAGCAACTTATGTGTAAAACAATCAAAGTTATACAAGTTTCTTCACTACATGGAAAAAATGTAACAAACTATAGTAGCAGTCTGCTGAGTCATTGTACTACTTTCAGCAAAAGCAACAGGACAAAAGCAGGAGAGAAGTAAACAATTCTGTCCAGACTCTAACCTAAGGTTAGCTTAGAATGTGCAAATGGTATAATGGTGAGAATTTATAAAAGATGTGCTACTGAAATACTATGCCCATTAAAGAATAACATGAAAACCTAGAATTATTCTTAATATCAGAATTACTATCCATTTCATACTAATTATTTCATACTAATTAACGTTCATTTCTGAGAGAAATTTGAAAGCATTCTATTGATTGACAGCAGTCAAGAAGATGTCTTATCACCACTTCTCTGCTCTAACAGCAATAGCCTGATTTCTTATGATTGAGATTTAATGGAATTTTGACTCCATTCCCAATCCATAGTATTTACTGTCATGTTAAATAAAAATAGCACCCACTTCTCAGAATATCAAAACTAACGTTAAGTTTCCATTACTCAAGTAACAGTTTCTAGACACTAGGAACTTTCAATTACAAATATCATATTACAACATACACTTAGAACTGGAAGGGCCCATACTGGCCATGTAACCCAATACTTTCATTTTACTACTTCAGGCCCAGCGTTTAAATGGCTTGCCCAAAACCACACAAGTACAAAACAGCAGAGCTTGGATTTGAATGTAGGTCTTCTGACTACAAATCTAATGCTCTTCACAACATATCAAACTAGAAAGGCAAAAGGTTTTTTATTTATATTGTGTGTGCATGTCCGTGGGCGTAATATTTATAGTGTGATACTGGCTAATATTCTTATTTTAATCCAACTCACTGAATCCTAGGGCTAGAAAAGCACTTAGAAATCATTTAATCCAATTTCCACATTTTACAGATAAGGAAACCAGTACAGTAAGTTGAATTTTTGGCAAGCAGGCCATGGGTGGTTGGAAAAATATCTAAAACAGAGAAGTGAAAGGACATTAAGAGTAAATGCAGCGTTACGGCAGAAAGGAGTTCTTAGGTTAGCTCTTCTCTCCATGCATTTTAGCCTGAGTAATGACTTTCAAATATAAAGGAACCAGAAAAAGAAGGGAGGTTGGGCACCCCTACCCCAATACACAAAAGATTATTTACTGTAGATAACTGGTTATAAGTAGATGAATTGAAGATCACAAATGCACAGTCCCTGCCTACCTAGGGCTCCCAGAGGGCTCCATTTCCTGAATATGGAACCATTATATTCTCTGGGTTCCATTTACTGAATATAAAGCCATCACATTCTTTGGAAGGGAATTCTATCCTATGGAATATAATGAAACAAAAGCTTGGACATCTATTGACAGATTTAAGCGGCACTCAAAAGTCTAGAGACAGCCTAGTAAGACAGCCAAAGAAAGTGGATTTTTAGCTTCCTCTAAGGAAAATGTCCACAATCAGGGCTCTCCCAGCGTGGAATGGGCTGCTCTATGAGGTCCTTCCCACATTCTCCCCTCACTGGTTGTCATCAGGCAGAAGCTCTATACCAGCTAGTGAAGGACACTGTAAAGGAACAAGTTTGACTAGATGGCCTCTGAGGTCTATGAAAGGGGTAACCAAGCAGACAAGACAACAAAGCTAATTCAATTCAACTCAACTGAATAAATGTTTATTAAGCGTCTATTATGCGCCTGGCACAGTGCTAAGCACTGGGGATAGAAAAGGAGGTAAAAGACAGTCTTGGCCTTGTCTAATGGGCCTGAAGACTATACACAAAAGAAAGCTGCAAAGGAGGGGGAAGAGTACCAGGACATAATGTAAAACCAGGCAGAACCACTGATGGAAAATGAAGAGCTAAGAGGACGCTGACAACAATCAGCTGAGAAGATCTAAAACAAATACTCTCTTTTCATTTATGCTCAGGTCTGACAATTCTTCCATGGGAACTGAATTCAAACACAAGCCTCCACATAAAAAAGGATGTTAGTCCCTGGATAGTGCAGCTAAAGAAAGCTTACAAAATCTAAAAGGTGTAGCAAGAAAGACAGTCCACTGGAGCAGCAGCATTAAGAGATCTAGACCCAGTCTGTTCTTCATTCCTTAACACCTCCAAACAAAAAACACTTACTATTTTCCTATATAAAATGTAGAAGATAATGGTTTTCTATAGAAAAAATGGTTTTTCAATAGAAATATGTTTTCTAACTAAGAAAATGTACTGAGAGAAAAGGAAAGGAGGCAGACAAGGGTAAATTACATTACAGGAAAAGGCACAAAAACCTATTACAGCAGAGGGAAAGAAGGGACGGAAATGAGCATTTTTTGAACCTTACTCTCATCAGATTTGGCTCAAGAAGAGAATAACATAATCAGTTAGGTTTAGAAATCTAACTTGCCCTAGAGGCAGTAGGAGGGAAAAGGGGAAACAAAAGGGAGGGGGCTACCAAAAGGGAGGTGGGAATGAGGACAGTGATCAAAAGCAAAACACTAGTGAGGAGGGAAAAGGAGAAAGGAGAAAGAAAAGCATAAACGGGGGGGGGGGAAAGAATGGAGAGAAAGACAGATAGTAATCATAACTGTAAATGTGAATGGGATGAACTCTCCCATAAAACAGAAGCGGATAGATGAATAGATTAAAAACCATAACCTTACAATATGTTGTTTACAGGAAACACATATGAAACAGAGGGACACACACAGGGTAAAGGTAAAAGGCTGGAGCAGAATATATTATGCTTCAGCTGAAGTAAAAAAAGCAGGGGTAGCAATTCTGATCTCAGACAAAGCAAAAGCAAAAATAGATCTTATCAAAAGAGATAAGAAAGGAAACTATATACTAATGTTGATAGACTTAGCCCTTCTCAGCAATGCAAGGATCTAAGACATATCCAAAGGCCTCATGATGGAAAATGCTATCCACATCCAAAGAAAGAACTACGGAGTTTGAATGCAGATAGAAGCATACTATTTGCTATTTTTTTCTTCTGCTGTGTTTTGTTTCCTCTTTCTGGTAGCTCCTCCTATCGGTTCTAATTCTTACTTACAACATCACTAATGTGAAAATATGTTTAATAGGAATGGGTGTGTGTGATATCCTATATCAGATTTCGAGCCGTCTTGGAGAGGAGTAGAGAGGGAGGGGGAGAAAAATTTAAAACTCAAAAGCTTATGAAAGTGATTGTTGATAAATCAAAATTAATTTTAAAAAAATGAAGAATACCTATCTAATAAATACTTTAAAAAAAAGTTTAAAGCCACATCTCCCATTTGAAAATAGGAAACACTGAGAAATCAAAATCTTTCCCTAGCCCAAATGTAACCATCGCCTGTCTGCTCCTACAAGTCCCTGTAAGACAAGGACTACAGAAGAAAAGAAAGTGAACCAGAATTTGGCGAGAATTACAAAAACACATTATATCAAGACACATAAACGACAGCACATTGTACCAAAACCTGTTACAGATGTTTACTTTGACAGGCTGATTTCAGACATTATTTCTCAAAGGGACAAGACAAGGCAAGCTGGTTCAGTTAAACAAAGATTTCCTTCTGAAAAGATTTTACCATTATATATATATATGTGTGTGTATATATATATATATATACACATATATACACACACACACACGTATATATATATAATATATATTTACCATTATATTGGCTGTATGAAATGGTCCAGTTTTCTTAATTTTATTTATTTACTTGAAACTGAGTTTCTCTATCTAGCTGTAAATACAATGGCCACTCAGGGGCCCAATCCCAACACTGGTCAGCACAGAAGCTTTAACTTGCTCCATTTCCCTAACCTGTGCTGGCTCTCCCCTCCTTAGGCAGCCTGATGGCCCTCTGATTCCCAGGGCTTACTACACTGGGGTCAGGCTTTGTACTGACACAATCAGCTTTAGCTCTTCTAACAGCTCTGAAATCCCTAACTCCATTGACATTCCAGCCTCAGCAGCGATGCACACCACACCTGGCAAGTCTTCTTAACTTTAAAGTAACAATTGAACCTACTTGAAATAATTCTCTACTCTTCCAAAAGAAAAATGACAGATTATATGCACAAACTGACTTAACTTACCTCACAGACTTTTTTTTAATGTTACTTGGACATTGTGTCTTTTCTTCAGGCTAAGATGCATATTGTCATATATGATATGATCTGAAAAAGGAAAAATCCAATTAGTAAATTATGATCAAGGGCACAAGCACAAAAATCTACTGACAGAAAAAAATAGTTTGGTTTTTTTTTGTTCATATATATATAGAGCTTAAAAGACCTTAAAAGTAATTTGGTCCAAATTCCTTGTTTTATAAATGAGAAAACTAAAGTTGTAAGTGTCTAAGAATACATAGGTAGTAATAGATTCAGGATTTGAAAGTCAGTTCTGACCGCAAATCTAACACACTTTCTATTGTAGCATACTTACTGCCTTCACAGTGGTTTGGTTTTGTTTTGGTTTTTTGCTGGTGATGAGCATAATTAGCCTACTCAGCATTTTAAGCATATATCACTGAACCATACAGGTAAGAGCTATCAAGTGGAGTAAGAATGAGCCTTCTTTTGGTTGGTCTCTGGAAGGATCACTAGAAGCAGTGGGCGGAAGTTATAGACAGTCTCAGGCCTGATAGAATGGAAAAAAGATCTGAGCTATCCCAGAGTGAAATGGGGCACAGAAGGGTGGGATCCCCTCCACTACAGGTCTTTAAGAAAAGGCTGGATGATCAATTACTGATTAAGTTGTAGAGGGGTTTCACTCTGGTAGAAATGGGATCAAAGGTTCTCTTCATTCCCTTACAACTTTGACTAGAGGCAGGTCACCGTCAGAGTGAATGAACTACAGAGTTCTAATACTGCCTCAGACAGTCCCTAGGTGTGAGACCCTGGGCAAATCACTTAACTTCTCTGTGCCTCAGTTTCTTCATCTCTAAAATGTGGCTAATGCACCTAACTCCAAGGGCTCCATGAAGACCAAATGAGTTAACATATGTAAAATACTTTGTAAGCCTAAAAGTGCTGTATGTAAGATAATATTAATGTTAGTCAGTCAAAAACCATTTATTAAGCATCTACTATGCTAAGAGCTGTGAGGCAAATAAAAGCAAAAGTCAATCCCTACTCTCATGAAGCTCAGTCTAATGAGGAGGAATACATGACAATTACAAACAAACAAGCTATTTGCAGGATAAATTGGAGATGAACACAGAAAGACAGCATGAGCACTAAAGGAGATATGGAAAGACTTCTTGAATTATAGGATTTTAGCTGGGACTTGAAGTCAGGGAAGTTAGAAGGTAGAGATGAGGGGGGACGAGAACATTCCAGGCACAGGAGACAGTTAGGGAAAATGTTCTAAATCAGAAGATGGGTATTTGTGATTTTGTAAATATTTAGTCCTTTCTTTTAATATTCAGAAAAATTTTAAATGAGAGAGGAAAAGGTGCTACTCATAATTAGAATAACCCTATCCTGTTAGTCTTTGCATAATTACTATCATATTTAAATGGAAAGTCATAGGCAAATAAGTTTTTCTTAAATGTATCCACTATCTTCTCTCTATCTCTAGTACAGAATGAAAATCTGCCAGATAAACTTCCTCTCAGAACAGAAAAAGTCACATCATCCACAAGGATTTACCAAACCAAGTCTTCAAGCACTGCATTCTCAAGTTCACTAAACTCATGGTCCACTGAATCACGACAAAAGGAGTTTGAGAATCAATGCTATTTAAGTATAAAAATCTGGATGGGACACAACAAAATGTATATGACATAAATCCAACAGTCCCTGCCCTCAAGAAGCCTACGTTTTATTAGGTTAGATAACATGTATATGTATATTAAAGATATATATGTACATATATATAACCATATACATATTCATAGGGAACACATACTTCACGTATGTGAAATACATTCCTACATGAAGAAGTATATTCCTATATTAATAAAGATACACATGTGCATATATTCATATATGTACATATGTTATCTAATACACACGTACATGTGGTCTAACCCAACAAAATGTAAGCTTCTTAAAGGCAGGGACTGTTGGGTTTATGTCTCTGTCTTCTCCAAAACCCAGTACAGCAAGTGGCACAGAATAGGTCCTTAATAAATTCTTGGTTGACTCGATTTACCTTCTCTATGCCTCAAATTCCTCATCTATAAAATTAGGGCATTGAACCAGGCGAGTTTGAAAGTACCTACCAGTTTTAACCTTCCTATACTAACCATCTCTTAGGATTAATGATGTTCAAGGACATAAACAAATAGAAAAATGTATTTACAGAAAAACATGGACTATTCCTTGGATCATAAATTTAGAGCTCTAAGGTATCAACACTCCCAAGCCACGTGGTGAGGAGCCACAAACCTTCCTCTTCCCTAGCTTAACACTCACTACCCAGTTCCCATAAGGCACTGGAATCCCATTCTGACCTGAATACTGACCTCTATCCCACAACCCCTACCTCTACTATCCTCATAGCCATTGTTCCCCAAGATCCTCAAGGTCTTGCTAACTGTGCTGTTAAATCTTAAGTACTGTCTGGTCTTTCCATCTATCATGATATTGAACCATCCCTCCTTTATGTGCTGTCTTATCCAACGAGAAAATGAACTGCTTGAGAGAATGAACTGATTCAATTTTTCTATTTCCAGTACTTAGTCTCTACCGAATATCTGAGGGTAGAGTACATTTTACTCTAGTATTCCCTTAAACTTATAAAAAAAGAATCCTGAAACAAAACAAATAATGTGAAATCCTTTAGGATACTCTAGCAATAAATTTCCATTCTAATGAGATATAAATATAATGCAGTAATTCTGATGCCTAGTTTGACTTGTTCAAATAAAACTTGTGACAATACAATGAAGTTGTAAGTCAGGAACCCTGACTAGAATTAGATACTCACTTTTAGATGGGACTTCAGGTGAAGCTACTTAGGCTGTCCCTACATTTCATGCTTTCTTTTGCAGTGAAAAAGAGGATGTTAACACTGAAGAATAATACTAAAACAAATTAGATAATAGGTGAAAGTGCTCCAGGTTCTTTTGGGGCAAAGGTGCTATAAAAATCCAAGGTATAATGAATAGTTTATTATTACTATTACATATATCAAAGTGGCTGCCCTGGATTTTGGTATTTTAGCACCTGCAATGTGTTGCACAAAGTAGGCACTAAATTCCATTAGACAAGTATTTTTAAAGCACTTGTTATGACAGCCTCTATTTTAGAGACTGGGGATGTGAGCTGAATGAAAGCTTGTTAAAGTATGGTCCTCACCATTCACATGTACACTGACTACCTGTTTAAAAAAAAAAAATCGTTGGGCCTTTTCCCTGCCTCAGGAAGAGAAATTAACTTCAAGATCAAGCAATCAAGTATTGCCCAAGCATCTTCTAAATGCAACACTGTGCTAGGCACAGAGGGACAGTAAGGCCAAAAACAAAAAAAAAAATGATCTTGAAACTGTCTCCTTGCCTTTTAAGGAGTTTACATTTTATGAAAAGGAGAAGGCACATATACGCATAAACAACAACAAAAATATGAGGAAATAGTCTGGGAGAGGTACTAAGTAGCCGGGAAAATCAGGGAAGGCCTCAGAAGTTGGTATTTGAGCCAAGTTAAAAAGGAAACCGGGGTAACAAGGATATAACTTTCAGATAATCAACTAAAGCTCATTAGTAGCAATTATGTTCTTTAAACATTCTTTCCATCAATTTGCAATCATGAAATATTTAGTTTGTTCTTTAAAAGCACAGCAATTATCTACTATACACAAAACCCACTATTTTCCTCTCCAATTACAGAATCTAAAGAATGTTTAAGAGGAAGGCACGATATTAATCTATCATGCCAAATGTAGTCAACTCTCAATTTTATACCAACATATTATCCACAGTCTATATTATCAGTATCAAAATATGGCTTTCAATTTCAAGAAAGTCTTTTAAATCAAAACACTTCATTATCCTGGAATCCCCTTATGGAAGTTGTAAATCAAAGAGGGAAGTTTAGGGAGATTATAAAGTAAAGGCAAGTTTAGGGAGACTGAGGAGATACTTATATTTTGAACGAGAGGAAAATTTCTACATATAATATTCATGTCCATTAGCAGGCTATAGGCAAAATCTTTACTTTAGTTCTTAAAATTCAAAGCACAACTAAATATATCATACAAGAAAAGCAGGTGCAATAGTCAGAAGAGTAACCAAATAAAAAAAAATCTTAAACTTACAAAAATCTTATATTTACAAGGGAAAAAAGCCCTCCACACTTGCACACACTGGAGCCAGAATCTCTCCCCAAGTACCAGGTCCCCAAGATAATTAAGCTAGACTCTTCCAGATCTTCAAGAGAAGGTTTCTTTATTTTGCTTTTAGTGAATTTACAGAGATACACACCCACCCTTATTTAAATAAGTAACACAAGGATTTCAAATCCAAATGTACTAAACTCTCAATTATATCCATGTTAATGGAGGGATCGAGATAGCAAATGCCACAGAGAACAAATGTTCACTCTATTTGGTTTCAGAAGGTACTTTAATTTAGATCCATCCAGGAGAGTCTCTAGTTGTGTGAAAACTCAAGGTACTTCAACAAAGATAATACTATAAAAGTCTGATGGTAGAAACTGGTTCATTTCTCCCTTTAAACTGACATAAAGGAGACTAAAACAAAGCTGCACTCCCTCTAAACTTATTCAGTAAGTATTGAAGGATATTCAATAATGTCCTTGAAACAACAACTATAAAGTGCCTATTTCATGGCTCAAGGATGACTCTGTATGCATGAAACAGCATAAAAAATACTAAGTATCGAGGAAACTGAAGTCCATAAAACAAAGCAGGTTGATCACAGAGGGAGAGCTTGGAATTACAACTGAACAACATGAATGTGGCACTGGTATTTCTAAATTACGAAAACACCCACAGGAAGGTCTCCAGCACACTGGATAGAGCTTCTACCCTCCCTATCATGCCACCTAACAGTGGATCACCCTACTTGTCTAATCACCCTTCTTCAAATTACCTTGAACTAACTTACATGTGTTGTAAACGCAACTAAAAGTTAAGCTAATTGAAGGCAGGGACTGTTTGGTCTTTTTTGTCTCTGTATTTGCAGAACCTGCAGGCACAATGCCTTTCACATTGCAGGTGCTCAACAGATGTTTAATGATTTGAATGAAGCATGGATGGATTTTCATTTGGTGGAGTGGAAAGGAATGTCCACAATAATATCATCAAATTTAAGTATTTAGTGTCTATGTGAGGGTATATGCCAAGCTGTCTGAAGGATATAAAACTGTACATGGGACATTCAACACAGTATATCAAAGTGCCATGTGACCAGTATAAAGTTAAATGCTAATATGAGGGGCAAAAATGGAGGGGCTAGTTTTTCCCAGGTAGGTTGGTACCAAGGAAACCACTTGGGGAGAAGATGATAATGGAGCTGGATCCTGAACTGAGCTCAAGACTGAGTCCTCCTGGCGAGAGAATAGCATAAACAAAAACATAGAGAAAACGTGTTTTAAGACAAGGAGTATTCCAACTTGACTAAAATGTAGGGTTCACTTTGAAAAAGTGGGAAATAAGGCTAGAAAAAAATTGCATAGTGGCCTATAAAGAACACTAATTAGTAATCCTAAAATCTAGTTGCTGCTTCTGCCTGTGTCACTAATTTTGAGCAAGTCTCTGACCTTCCACTTCCTCATCTGTAAAAATAAGGATTATAGCTCACCTTTAAATAGCATTTTCACATGCCCTGTGAACCTCATAGGGTTACTGGATCACATATTTAGAGCTAGAAGGGAATCTAGAGGTGATCTAGTTCAACCTGCTTATTTTACGAATGAGGAAACAGAGGCCACAAGAGGTTAAAGGATTTGCCCAACCTCAAGAGGTAGTAAAAGTGGTAAAGCTGAAATCTGAACCCACATCCTCTAACTACAGCATTCTTTTCACTTCCCCCATCAAATGAGATACAGTAGCAGAGTGCTTATGTGTGCTTACTGGCATCAATTAAGAGTTTACAGACATCCATACACATGATTCCAGTTATTTTTAAAAATAACTGCAATTTGAACTGCAAACTAAAAAAAAAATAAAGAGAATAAATTCGACCTTTATTGACAATCTGAGCTATAGAAAAATTAAATATACTTTTAAAAGACCTTCCATGGTATCTTTTTACTTTTAAGGGAATATTGGCATGCAGGTATAAAATGGCTTTCTAAATTACCACACCGGTTTATACTTCAAAAGTCTTCCAATTTTATCCTGCTTTGAAATTTGTTTTAAAGATCACTCTTTAGTTGGTTATTAAAGACCATCTAACCAAGTAAATTTTAGATGAAAATAAAATTTCATTGGTTTCAGGGAAATTATTAATAATAATAACAGAAGAAAAGTAACATGGTGTGGTATAGAGGTTAAGTGTGGCTCCCCCCCCACATGTAGCCCATAACACAGTACAGCCTAAAACAGATTAAAATGCAATTGAGAAATATTTAACAAAATAAATAAAAATACAACAGATAATACTACATTTTAAAACTAAATTAATATGGTTCCCACTGGGATCCTCACGTACAGATTAATAGTCCCCTTTTCTATTTGAGTTTGACATTCTTGTTGTATGGATAGAAGGCCAACCTTAAAACCTGTAAGACCTGGATTCAAGTCCCACCTATGATACATAATAGTATATGACCCTGGGCCAGTTGCTTAATCTCTCCATTCTCTTTCTCTGAGACTCTAAATTGCAAAGGAGAAGATAACCTGCATAGGGAGAAGGAGCTTCCTCAATCCAGGAGTTTCCTATACCAACATTTTTGCATCATTTTAAGGGTTACAAAGCACTTTTTATATTCCATTTGATTCTCACAATAACCCTGCAGGATTGGGGTTCCTATTATTATTCCCATTTTATAGATGAGATATTATGAATTACCTCTCACATAATCTTAGTGTTAGAAGCAACATCAATGGCCATCAAAACTAAATTTAAAAATAAAAAATCCCTTCCTACAATATATTATATACTTGCTTCCAGCCCTTGAGAGGAAACCCACCTTCTCCCAAGGATCTCATTCCACTTTGGGACACCCCTATTAAGAAGCTTTTCCTTCCTACCAATCTTCTCTGCAATGTCTACCTAAACAAGACCAAATCTGATTCTCCAGATTTGACAGGTCTCTATATGATGTCTTAGAATACTTGATAGCGATAGCTACCAGGTCCCCACCAAACCTTCTGTTCTCCAAACTGAACACTTTGCCAGCTCCTTCAAAAGATCCTCATCTGGCAAGATCTCAGGGCCCGTTACCATCCTCTTCACCCTCCTTTGATGCTCTTCAGCTTTTCAATGTCCTACCCAAAATTTTGCAACTAAATACAATAATACAGATGTGATCTAAACAGAGAAAAATACAGCAAGACTTAAACCTCCCTAGTCCTGAACACTATGTATCTCATAACCTGGCTGTCATAAAACACTGTTAACTCTGAGTCTGAGGTAAAGCCCCAAGATCTGACATCTGAACTGATATCTCTAGCCTTTCTCCTCCATCTTATATTTAGTGAATCCTCAGCCTAACATTCTACATTTATCCCTATTAAATTCAGCTTACTGGATTCATCCCCAATATTCCAGCCTATGGAGAAAACTTTGAATTCAGACATTTCTATCCAATGTTAGCTATCTTTCTAGTACTCTCTCCACTGTACTATGCTGTCTCAAACCATTAATAACTGTTCTTTGGATCCAAATCCAGTACAAAGGGATTTCATATTAACCTTATGGTCTATCACTAAGTTGTCATACAAGGATTACTACATCTTAATCAGGTAGTGTGGAGTATTAGAAAGAACACAGGATCAGGAGTCAGGTGTACTGTGTTTTATTTTAGTTTAAGCTCTATCACTACCACAAAGTAAATTCCTCTAATGACCTTCTCTGTAAAATGAGAGGGATTATCTAGAATTTCATAGTTCTAAAATGTTACTATTACTATGAATTACATTGTAATTCATATTACTATGAATCTAAGATTCTGGACAAGCACTTTAGAAGAATGTCGGCAACAACTATAAGCAAAGAGCTATAATCAAAAAGTTTTAATAAAAGTTTTTACTAAAGTTTGTTGCAAATAAAAAATAAAAATGAGTTCTGATTAAATGGTAGTCTAACCTAAAATGGAAAATTACAAGCACCTGCAATTTCTTACTCTCCATTTAGCAACATAAAAACAAACTGGTTTTATTCAGGTCTCTCCAATGGCTCCACACACAGTAATAAGAACCCACACCCATTTTGTAGAGTACCTACTAGAGAAAGGGGTGGTGTTCAAGGATTTGGGAACAGCTAGAGCACCTTCAAGGTGAGAAGAGCCCTGACAATAGGCAGGAAAAAAGCAAAAACTCCAAGTGAACTTGATTTCCCAGTCACAGAATTTAGACCTGGAAATACCTTAGAAATCATCTAATCCAAACCCCTCATCTTACAGATGAGGAAAACTAAGGCTTACATGCAGGAAGGCTTGCCCAAGGTCAAAAAAGAGTAATGAAAAATTGCACTGGTTGTTGGAAAAGATAAAGTTTCGATAAGACACGATTGCTGCCCTCTTTACATACATTATCTCAACTGATTTTCATAACACAATATCCTGGTATCAAGTCCCAACCCTGATTTTTTTCTACTTCTTAGACCTCAGGCAAGTCTCTTAACCTTCCTTAACATCAGTTTCCTCCACTGCAAAAAACAGGGATTGGAGCACATGGCCCTGAGGCCCCTTTTAGCTTTAGATCTATGAGGCTATGACCCTATTACTATGTACTCACTGCACTCTTCATAGGGCTATGGTTCAGTCTAATAGAGGGAAAGACACCAACAACACAAATACATAACATCGTGAAGGATAGCTAAGTGCACTAGAGAAAGTACAAGAAATGATGTGAGGTTCTGAGGGCAAAGGTCATTTATCACCTGGAGGAAAAGAGACCAGGGGAAAGCTGCCTGGATAAAGTATAATCTGAGTTATGCTCCAGAAATCTATTGGTCCCTCCCTACCATATTTTTTTAAACTATCTCACTACAATTAATAGGAAAAATGACAATATTTTCTAAGAAATTTTCCCTACTGAACCTAATGTAGCAAAAAGAACTGAAGTTAAGAGTCAATCCTAGTTCTATTACTGTCTTCCTGCTGATCTTGGGCCCCTCTAAATCTCCATCTTCCTTACCAACAAATGAAAAAGATTTGACTAAAATAAAAGGGCTCTTAATTTCAAATCTTGTAAACTTTTTAAAAAACCTGATAACTGTATTGTTAATACAACTGGTTTCCTTTGTATTTCATTTTTTGCTCTTACAAACCTTACTCTGAGAAGGGGTCCGTAAGATTCACCAGACTGGCTAACGGGTCTGAAAACACAAAAAAGGCTAAGAACCTCTGAACTAGCTTGTCCCTTCCTGCTCTAAATCCCATGGCACTCTGTCATATTCAGAAAAAAAAAATTTCACACCAGAAACAAGCAAAAAGAGTGGCTTTGTGAGGGAGGGAAAGAAAGTATAAAAGTATAAGATTAAAGAGAAAATGGGATTTGGCAACCGGTGCAGCAAGGGAGAGGGGTGTAGTCTCAAAAATACAAAGACTGGAGGGAAAAAGAGTGGAATTACAAATGGGAAATTGGCAGAGATTAAAGGAAATTAAGAAGGGCTCCAGGAAGAGAGACAGCTAAGAGTGATGGGGGGAAGGGTCCTGGACGACAGAATTTAGGGCTGATCAGTGAGGCCAACCCTCTTAGAGGAAAGTAAACTGAGAAGGCAGGAGGTGGGAGGTGGTGAGAGCAGAGAGAGGGAGGGACAGAGGGAGTGAACCTCTTCTATGGACCTTTGCTAAGAATTAGGTTTTTAAAAGCATAAAATAAAATACAAAGGAAAGCAGAGGGAAAAAGGAGAGAGGGGAAAGGAAGGGGGAGAGGGAAGAGAAAGGGAGAAGGAAGTGAGGAAGGAGACAGTGGTGAGATAGGAGAGAGGAAAGAGAGATGGGGAGAGGGAAGGGAGAGGAAAGAATGGGAGGGGAGGAGAGGAAGAGGGAGGAGGGGGCGGGGGAGGCGGCCGCTCACTCACCCGGGTCCCCGGGCCGGGCTGGGCGGGAGCCCCGGGGGTCCGCCCGGCGCAGCGGCTCCTCCTGGCCTGCGGGCGGCGACGGCGGCGACAGCCGGGGCGGGCGGGCGCACATCATGCGGCTGAGCTCATGACCCGGCCGCGGGCGCCGGGAGGAGGAGGCAGGGCCGCCGGCGCACGCAGGCTCCCTCGTGCCCGGGCTCGCTCCGGCTCGCTCGCGGCCTCTCCCACACACAGCTCGACGCCGCAGCCGTCGCCCCACAGGCGACCCCGCCGCCCAGGGCTCGGCTCGCCGAGCGAAGCTCCCGGAAGTGATCTCGCGGAGGCACGGCGCATGTGCAGCATTCTAGGGAAGCCGTTATTCAACTTCCGGAACAGGTTGGTGAAGGGATGGGGAGCGCGAGGCACAAAGAGGGCGGGGCAAAAAGGACTAGGAAAGGTGGGGTTTAAGTTCAGGGGTGAAGACGAGTGTTTCCAAGGGGGCGGGGAAAATCCGTTAACCAATAGCAGGCTTCCCTTAGGCGTTTCCGCCTAGAGAAACAACTCCTCGCTGGGTTGGGAGGCTTGAAAAAGAGACTACGGGTCGCCGCTCCGCCCAAACTCTGACGTTTGGCGAGTGTAGATTCTGACAGCTATTGGGCGGTGGTGGGGCATCCTGCTGCTGCCCACGGTGTGTGTCCTGGGGCAAGTCCCCTCCCATCTAGGACACTCAGTTTCCTCTCCTCCTGTAAAAGGAGGAGGTTTGGTTGGAAGGGCCTCTTGTGATTCTAGGAGGGGATTAGAATTCTTCAAAAGAATGAAAAGCGTGCCCAGTGAGGCCACGAGATCGTCCTTCATTTTACAGATAGGGAAACTGAGGCCATGAGAGGAGACGTAACTACACCTAGATCACACAGGTCACAAAAGTAAAACTTGAACTCAGCTCCCCTGCCTCCAAATTCCTGATGAGGGGAAGGAGGGACAATTCTGTTTAAAGTGACTAAGGAGCCCAGATTTGGCTAAGCCTATGGAGGGGGGAATAGCCCCTTTTTTATTTTTTCATTTTTTGGCCGCAGCAAAGGAGACTCCACCTGGGCAGGAAGGGTTTTGTTTTGTCTTTTAAATCTGTTGGTGAAAGGAAAACCCACACTAACGAAATTGTGAATGCTTGACCTATTGAATTAAGTCAGAGACTGCACCCTGCAGGCAGAGACGGGTACCCCACCCCCTTGACCTCTCAGGACGCCCGTTTCCAGCTTAATTAACTCGAGGCTATGAAATTTGCAAACCTGTGCTACCTTGATATACCCGCAACCTAGCACCTAAAATAATGAGTCTATCGCCAAACTGAAGATTGGAAGCAAAAAACGCTTCCAAACTCCATTCCTTTCCTGAGATTATATGGGAATATAGTTTAAGTGGGTATAGTTTCTATAATTATATAATATGTAGATCATTTGTACATATATGTATTTAATAAGCGTATATGTGCTTATTATCATCAATTAGGATCTTTAATTGCCTCCTTTGCTAGAAAGCCCCAGAGGAAAAGCATCATTAAATCGGCCATTAAAATATTTAAGACTGCAGCAGTGACAATAGAAATAAAAACAGACCGTTATCTCATTTTACCAAACCAAGGACATTCACTGATTCAAGCCCTGCCCTTCTTTTCCTTCACTAGTCTTCATTTTCCTCTTTTGTAAAATGCTGGGGTTAGTACTAAATTCTAAGATTCCTTTAAGCATTAACATTCCTCAATTCAACTCAACAAATATTTATTTGGGGTCTAATGTATATGGTCAGTCAAGGAGCACATTTAAGATACTGTGTTCCAGTCACTAAGAGCAAATTTTTCAGATACAAAGAAAGACAAAAACATGGTCCACTTTCTTAAGGAGCTCACATTCTAATAGGGATGACAACCTATAAAATGACTATGAGCATATAAGATCTAAATGGAGCAGACAGAAGGTAATCCAAGAGGGGAAGGCCTCCTGTAGAATGTGAGATTTGAGGTCAGTCTGGAAGGGAGCTAGGGAAGCTCAGAGGCAGAGATAAAGAGGGAGAGCATGGCAGGTGTGGGGGAGGGCCAGTAGCGAATCCGAGAGTTGGTAGATGAGAGTCATGCAGAAAGAGCAGCAAGGATTGGCATTGTGGAAACAGGTGGAGAGGGAAGATATGGGAAGAGTGGACTCGAAACAGTTTAGGGAAAATACTGTCTTTTTTGACTCATGATCTGAATGCAGATTGAAGCATACTATTTTCTCTCTCTTTTTTTCTTTCTCGTTTTTCCCTTTTGTTCTGATTCTTCTTTCAAACATGACTAATGTGGAAATATGTTTAATATGATTGTACATGTACAGCCTATATCAGATTGCTTGGGGAGGAGAGGGGGGAGGGAAGGTGGGAGAAAAAAATTTGGAACTCAAAATCTTATAAAAATGAACGTTGAAAACTAACTTTACACGTAAATGGAAAAAATACTATTAAGTGGGGGGGGAAGAAAAGACTTTCTTTTTAAATTTTGTTTTATCTTAAATTTATTATTTTCTTAACATTCATTTTTAAAAATTTTTTGAGTTCTGAATTCTCTGCCTCTCTCCTATCCCTCCCCCACCCATTAAGAAGGCAAGAAATGTGATATCAATTATACATGTGAGGTCATGCAAAACATTCTGTATTAGCCATATTGGAAAAAAAAAGGCAAGAAAAATAAAGTAAAAAAATTGCACTTCCATCTGCATTCACACTCCATCAATTCTTTCTATGGAGGTAGATAACATTTTTCATCATAGGTCCTTCAGATTTGTTTTGGATCGTTGTATTGCTGAGAATGGCTAAGTCATTCACCGTTGATCATCCTAAAATATTGCTATTACTGTATACAATGTTTTCCTGGTTCTGCTCATTTCACTTTGTATCAGTTCAAGTAAGTCTTTCCAGGTTGAGAAAATACTTTCTTTACCCTCATGGAATTTAGGTCTGGTAAGGGGATGTCACACAAATAACTTATGACCGTGTTGTTCATTTTTCATTTCCTAGGAGGACCGATGACTTCAAGGAGTGATGTCTTGACTTGCTCATGAATTGGATTTAAGTGAGGCAACATTGCGTAGTCATTAGCCTCACTTTTCCTGAATCATCGAAATTCAGTGGCAGGACAAAAGTCAAGACGACTAGCCATGGCCCAGAATGCAGTGGATGACCTTGGCTCCTTCAAGGTCTGACCAAGCTCTAAGTGCTCTGAAGCACCTGCTTCATTCACCTTCATGGTCCTTGGAACAAATTGTTCTCATCCGCCGATTCTGCACAGGAAGTAAGTCTTCACATGCTTGTGGTAGACATCCTCCTAACTCACCATTGGGTTTGAGACCTGTCAGTTACCATCAGCCTGGTTTTTAGCCCATCTGCCAAAATGGTTTATCAGAGTGTGGCCATTGCACGTGCTCCAGTTTCTTGCAGTCATAGGTCGGAGTTGAGTACCAGGTGGATGAGCAGCCCCAAAGCCCTCACACCAGAGGCGCTAGCCCTCCTTGAACCCCCCATACACCCCACTAAAGACTTGGAAAGGATGTAGTGGAAGGGGCTAGATTGGAGTCCAATCTGGATTCAAAATCTGCTTTGGGCAGTTTTTAGCCATGTAAACTATGGGCAAGCCACTTAACCTCTGAGCCTCAAGTTTCTTTTCATAATGGGGACAACTGTACCTGTGGTAAATTCCTCACAGGATTGTTGTGAGGAGCAAATGAGATAATTTATGTAAAATACTCTGCAGAATTTAAATTGTTGTTCAATCAGTCTCTTCATGACCCTATTTGGGGTTTTCTTGGCAAAGATGCTGGGGTGATTTGCCATTTCCTTCTCCAGCTCATTTGGCAGATGAGGAAACTGAAGCAGACAGGGTTAAGGGACTTGACCAGTGTCATACAGCTAGTTAGTATTTGGGGTCACATTTGAACTCAGGTCTTCTGGACTCCAGGTCCATGCACTATCCACTAAGCTACCTGGCTGCCCTGCAGAATTTAAATATATAAATGTATAGAAATATCAATTACAATATTATTGAATAAGTTCAAAGTGCTATGTGAAGTGCAAGAGGGGAAAGGCCATTGTAGTTAGGGAATGTGAACTGATACTGGTGTTTTATTTTCATTGCAGCAGGTAACCAGCTGTCACAGTATATGGAGCATTGGTTAAGGAATCAGGAAGATGAATTCAAATGTGATCTCAGATCTTTTCTAATGGTGTGACCCTACACAAGTCACTTGAATGCTCTCTGCCTCAGTTTCCTCAGCTATAAAATGGGGATAATGATAGCACCTACCTCCCAGAGTTGTTGGGAGGATCAAATGAACTGATAATTGTAAAGCACTTAGCACAGTGCCTGACACACAGTAGGTGCTTAATAAGTGCCCCTTTCCTCCCTCCCTTTAACAGGGTACCCTCTCAAACACGGTCACCACAATTTTCTGAGACAGTCCCAATTTCAAGCAGAAGTGAACTTTCACTGAGATTCTGCAGAAACAATTAACCCCAGGTCAGACCCCAAGGGTGGGAAACTTGCCCCCTCGAGGACACGCATGGCCCTCTAGGTCCTCAAATTTGGTGGTTTGACTGAATCCAAACTTTACAGAACAAATCCTTTTATTAAGGATTATTAATTATTAGGTCTGGTCTCTGCCCTATTAAAACACTACAAGATAAAAACTGAACAGCCAGTAAAAGCCTAGATCTCCCAGCTACTGGGAGGGGGAAACTTCTAATCCCCTGGGTAGTATGAGCCCTCAGGCAAGTACTGTACCAAGAGAGGATCCAGCTCTGGCTATAGCCGCCACAAAGCCAACAGAACAGATTCCGGGTGCCTCCCTCCCTTCCCAGCCCCGCCATGGGCTGTAGCTACCCCCATCAAAGCACGTAACTGCTTCAGGACCATCGACAATGGCCTGGCCAGGGCAGAGCCTCATGCTCACTGGGCATCTCCCTTCCCGTCTCCCTCCTTCTCTCTGGGTTTGTGATAGTCACTTTCCATTATCAATATTTGATGGAAGAGGAAGGGCAGAACAGTGAAGCAAGTAAGAGCTGTCTTCAAACTATAG